CAAGATGTGAAAGAATGATACCCGCGTATTGCAGCTTATGGTGGAGGCTAAAGTTTCTCAAATGCAAGTCAATCTCTATAATGTCAGGGTCAAGAGATAAAAAATGCCAGGAACTAAAGAAAGGCCTTGTCACATGGAATGTACTTGTGAAATAAGAAAGCCCTAGCATCAACCGTTCAAACGTTATGGCAAAGGTTAAAGTTTTTCAAACTTTTTTCCAAGGTCAAAGTCAAGAAGTCAAAACTGATGGTACCCGAAGAAAAGTCCTGTCGCAAGAAATACACTTTTGAAATATGAAAGCCATAGCTCCAACCGATCAAAAGTTATGGGCAAGGTTTAAGTTTTTGCAGACAAACAGACAGACGGATGGACAGAGCAAAAACAATATGCCCCCAAATCTTCGATTACGGGGTCGTTACAACCTTAACTTTAAAAAAAATATAGTTTTTCCTGAGATCAAAGAACTCAAATGAATTTTATGATTTTACAATGAACCAAGTTACAAATAATTTATTCTAATTCTCCATCATCCGTTTAATTGATTGATATTTTATCAAGTTCTGTAAAATACTTAAGTTGGTCAATAACTTTTTTTTCAAATGGAAATGTGAGCAGTTTACAGATATGACAATTTTTTTTTTCACTAAAAGTCCGACCAACTTTTGAGGAATAAGAAAAACGTATACTAAGAGGTTCAAATACCATAAATGGGGGATCATCTTGCCTATCATCTGATAGAGCAGACTTTGTGCTTGTAGTCAGGATATTAAAATACATGTAAATGTGTAGAATAAATGAAATATTTGATGTACAGTGTTTTATTTTCGAGGTATTCACATAAAGATGATTTTTTTTCTTTTCACATACCTTAAGAACATATGTGGAAAATAGATTATTTGTCAGTAAGTTTTAATATTCAATAGAATAAAGGAAGAAAAGGGTAAAAGATGATATTGTCAATACAATTTTTGAAAAATATAACTTTTCATGAACTTCTAGAATTGAAAAAGGTCTTTTTTTTTCAGAGCGGGGATTGTCCTCGCCTTGTACGCCTCCATTCTTTGAAATGAAAAACATTTTGCGAATGATAACAATTGTTTTGTGGAATAAACACTATGAATAAATGATAAAACGTTTCAACACTTACTCTTGATTAATTATAGATGATTCTCCTAAAGATCACTAAACTGAAACATGCAAATGTTTGAAAGCAAAATATCGATCTTAAGAATTGGTACTTGGCCCGTAAGACAAAATTCTAGAATGATAACATTTTATTTTCACGCAGTCTATTGAAAATGGTTACCAGCGTGTCGGTATGCTAAATTATTTACGAGTATAGCTATTTTGATGAAGAAAAAAGGAAGGCAGCATTTTTATGAGCAATGTTAATTATTAAAATAATTGAGATCGTTTTGTGAAACTTATATATATTTAATTATATGCAGTGAGTAAAATTATTTCTTTTTAAAACTCTAGACATACGATTGAATGATAACGTTCCACTTTGATTTTATTAACTTTAAAATAAACAAGAAAAATTCGCTGTTATATTTCTCTGAATATATACGACAATTTGTTTTGTTTTGCAATATACCTCATTACACTTGGTTGGTAATAAAAAAAATTAGCATAAAGAGCGGTAAAGTTATCAGCATGCATATTCTACTTGAAATCCTCACGGAGGAAATATTGCTATCAGCTTCTTACGTATAAATTCGCTTCGACGAAAAGTTATCATTCATCTTTGAATAGATGAATAATTTTGAAATATGTCCCGTTTTATTTCAGTCAAATACAAAGGCGTCTATTGCCTAGCACTTTGACATGAGGCAATAGTTTAATTTTCTGCATGAAACGAAACAGTGCTGACATTACCAGCAATAATTTTATACCTCTTAAAAGTACATGTTTTCTGTTATAAATATTGGAAACAAACAGAGCTGCTATGTTGCCTTGGACTACCAGTAGGGGTTTAACATAAAATAAGGTTTATTTTCAAATAAAGCAATTTATTTTAAAAATCTTGTAAATTTACTTTTGTTCATGTCAGAATGTGTTTTATCTTTCTAGTATTTTACCAAAACATTTATTTGTAAACCTGGAATATACCCCCCCCCTTTTTTTCTAACTGTGTCTCAGCCAATCAGATTGTCGCGCAAGGCATCTGTTTACATAATTCTTTGTTTACTCGGAGTGCTGCCACAGAAAATATGTCTGACGAAAAAGCAACCTCCACCTCCACTCCATCCCCCACCTCTTTAAATTAACAATTATACATATTTCTCTGACGTTTTCATGCGGTTTTCATGCACCAGTTTTGTTTCCAATAAAGTTTGATGTTGTATTATATCGCATCTGTGTGTTGTAACAATATTGTGGCTGGGAGACCACTGTTGTGTAATAATTTAGTGACTTGCGTTTCTAGTCAAGAAACGGTTACTATGTCAACAAGCTTTCCTTGATGCTGGTATGTCTCCCAGCCAAATTCTTTGTAATTGTTTTATGGATTACATTTTTCGTCATTTAAAAAATAAATGACAAGTTTTTTTTACACTTAACATGTTTTCTGTTATAAATATTAAAAACAAACAGAGCTGCTATGTTGCCTTGGACTACCAGTAGGATTTTAACTGAAATAATTTTATACCTCTTAAAAGTGGAGTTAAATGCATTGACTGAATGTTTTAGAAATCAGCAAAAGACGGTTGCCTTTCATTTTTTAATAGCTCAAGATTCCGACTTTTTTATGTTTAGTTGTGTTTTTTATTCAAAGACACAGTATGCACATTAAAAAAAAAAAACAACAGATTTTAGCATACTATGTTGGAAATTTTGAACTAACCGAATAGCAGAATATGCAGAAATCTCATGTTGTCAAAAAGTAAATTTTGTATTTACTGCTATCCGGTAAATTCAAAATTTTCAACATGATACTGAGTACGACCTATGTATCAATTGGAAATTAATTTTGTTTTATTTCATTGAGTAGACTATTTGTAAATTAAATGTTAATCCTAATGGTTTGGTTCCAGAAATATATTTTCCCTCGATGTAAATCAAAAAAAGATCCCATTTTAAGTTTTCATTAACGGTCACAATGAACATGTTATTTTTCTATCTGCAATCGGACCTTTGGATTGTCAACGCATTGTAACATGAATGTTAAATCTTCATAGGTTAGCGGCGCCTATAATTTCAAATAAAGTACTAGTAATTAAATTGACGTGTTTGCTTTGTAGGTTAAAATCCGGAAGAGGTGGATGCCTCTTTTTCCAGGCTACTGACATTGATGGATTTGAAATTGGATTTGATTGCTCTGGAAAGTAAGTATGGATTAATTGTCATTTCAAACAAAAAGTCTAGGAATGCATATATACATCTGATTTGTGGACAGGTGTTGGACATTCAAATGCGACGGGGAATTAAAACAATAGCAAAAACAACAGCAACAATTAACAACGACAACAAACACGTTGCCAGTATTAAGATATTAGACATTTACTGTATATGGCAAATATCTCATTCGAAACTTTGTAAAATCAAGCAGTCAATTGGATATGCCTTAAAAAATTGAAGGCCAAAGTATACTATATGTCTAATGATTTATTTAATTGTGTTGATGAAGTAATTTTTAAAACGCACTATTCCCTGCATAGTTTATCTGCCGAAGCAACCGGTGGTTTGAATTCTATTGTATTTGTCTTTTTGTATTATGCATCATTTACTTCTAAACACAGGTAATTTGCAAATACAAAGATATTTGATGGAATGCATCACAGCATGGCTTTTGAATCGGATACCGAATTTTTTGTTGCAAATATCAAACTGTAAGATATGAATAATTCATTCAATAATCTTCGTTTTTATATTAAACATCGACTTATTTAAAAAAAAAAAAACTATGATAATGTTAACTTTAAGAGTATAAATCACACTTGATATAGATGAAATATCTTTGATATCTTTCAAAGAAGAACTCCTTCAAGTTAGTTCAGTCCTTCATTTTAATTTATATCACCAACTAATTTATAACGCGAACAAAAAAATCAATGTACTTCATCAAACCACCTGAAATGTACTTAAGCACATAACGTGGATTTAATTTACATTAATGCTGTACGGAGATACATGTGCATCTAAGTAATTTTCAATTTATAATTTAAAAAAAAGGAAAGTTGTTTTTTGTATATTTCTTTCTTTTTCGGGGTGGAGGTGGGGGATACTTACAGTTTTGCTATTTGTGAAAGAAATTCTGTGTCCGATATATTTCATAGTTCATTCCCTGTTTAAATCAAATCTAAGAAGAATGTATCTCTTCCCTCTAATAAAATATGTGTCAGATAAATGTACTCTGACAGCAAAGTTCAAATTTTCCAAAATATAATTTACTCTGATATTGAACAGAAAGTTTGAAATTTTGATTTTATGATTTTACGTTCAATCAGCTTGAACCAGTCTTAATTGTCATATGTTAGTTTTATGGATCTATAAATTTCCAGATTTTCAAGTTGATCAATATAGTTTGTTTTTAAAGTGTATGAAAATGCGATCAATTTACAGGCAAGCGAGTTCTATACAAATATTAAAATCTCGCTGAACTTTTTTTTCTAGCATAATAAGAGCTTCAAATAACAAAAAATGAAAGATCATCTTGCATTTCGCCTCATTTAGCAAGTGGTCGTGTATGTAGCTCAATATTAGGCAGGTGTTATTTCCAAATATTTGGAAGTGTCAATCCATATTATCAGGGGTCACGTAAGTTATTTTATTTCACAATTCGGACATTTCAAAATGCCTCTGACTTAAAATTACTTATTCATATTGCTCATAGATACACAATATACATGTACCTAAGTTTTATTAGATCGGGAGGTAGTGCGACTGAGGCTGGGGGAGTATTTTCTGTAAATTCTGAAATCTGGATAGTACGGAATCAGGATAGGGATAAATAGTTCATTATCGCACAATCGAGCATCGACTGAAGGGTCGATGGCGCGATGAAGCAATGGAACGATGACGATGAAGCGATGGTAAGAAGCGATGTGACGATGATGGGATGACGCGACAATGCGATGATGATGGAGTGGTGCAATAGCACGGTGGACCCTGCGATCAAGGTAGCGCCACGTAGTTTACTTTCGCACCATCGCACTATTAAAGATAGGGTCAATGGCGCGATGACGCGATGATGATGAAGCAGTGGTGTCTACAATGTGCGATGACACGATGGGGTGATAGCGCGACAACGAGATGATACGATAGTGATGACGCAATGGTGTGATGGCGATGGTGAGATATCAATGAAGCGATATTTGCTATTTCTCCATCGCGCTTTCGTGCCATCGTCATCGCATTGTCGCGTCATCGCATCATCGTCATCGCGCTATCACTGTCACGTCATTGTCATCGCTTCATCGTCATCGTATAATCGACCCTTTAGTCAATGTTCGATGGTGCGATAGTGAACCACACGTCCCTATTCGGATTCCATACATTCCCCATCCACGATGCTATGTGTCTGACGATAACTAGATATTCTTAAATCATTTACCCTGCTGCTAACTAAAAAGTAGAGGTAAAGTAATTAAAGTGCTTACCTTTGATGTTCATTCTACACATAACATCCGTCTTATGTGTGCCGGATACAAAGTCCTTGAATCAGCTTTGTATTATTATTGATGTCGTGTTTTGTTACTCTTCCAGCCAAAAAAAACATTCTAATATTACGTTTTAATGATCCTTTGGAGAATCATCTATAATTAATCACTGATAAGTGTTAAAGATTTAAAAGTTGATAAAAGGAGTTGATAAATCATCTTGATTTGGTAGGAAAAAAGCTTCTTCTGTGAGCAAAAAATGCATTTATAAAGATTGATTTAAACATTCTATATTGATTTTAAAGCATTTCTCATAAAGAAATAGAATGAGAAAGAGATTAAGTATTTTATTTAAATTTAACACCAGACCATGTTGTATGTCAAACGACAGTAAGGACTTGCAGCACCTTATCAGCTTTATTGTTTTTTAAAGTGACTATTCTTCGTAATGACATGACCTTATTCAGTATATTCCTCTTTATGTCTCTAAAACAAATCTCTGTGCAGTTTGTTACGACTAATCTGAAGCTAAAGCTTGACTGAAGCTCTACTAGTTAAAAACTGTAAATCTAGGGCCCGCACCAGTAATTTTGAAATAAGAGAGAGAAAAAGAGGGCTTAAATTACGAAATTTGAAGCGGCGATGTGTTCATCGGAGCGGCAAATATTCTAATGTTTATACAAGTGCAGCGTTGTACATGTACCTTTCTTGTGTTGATGATTCACATGGTGATACTAGATGTGTTTGTGAAACACTAATGCCCCCGTATGGCAACTTGTAGCAAAGGTTTAACTTTCTCAAATGCAAATCAAATAGTTGGTACCCAAAGTAAGGCCTTGTGTCGAGGAATATACCTGTGAAATATAAGAGCCGTAGCAGCAACCATTAAATAGATATGGAAAAGGTTAAAGATTTTCAGAAGTGCATATGTAAGTCAAACATCCAGGTCAAGGTCAAATGGTCAAAATTAATGGTGCCTAAGGAAAGACCTTCTCACAAGAAATATACTGGTGAAATATGAAAGCTGAAGCACCAATCGTTCAAAAGTTATGACCAAGGTTTCAGTTTTCCAAAAGAAGGTCAAACTCCAAGGTCAAGGTCAATGGATTACAATTGTTGGTATCCAAAGGAAGGTCTTGACACAAGGATTATATATGTGAAGTATGAAAGCTCTAGCACCAACGGTTCAATAGATATGGCCAAGTTTAAAGTTTTCCAAAAGCAGGTCAAAATCCGAGATCAAAGGGTCAAAGTTGTTGGTATCCAAAGGAAGGTCTTGTCACAAGGATTACATATGTGAAGTATGAAAGCCTTACATCAACCGTTCACAAGTTATGGCCAAGGTTAAAAATTTTCAAAAGTAGGTCAAACTCCAATGTCATGGTCAAAGGGTCAAAGTTTTTGGTATCCAAAGAAAGGTCTTGTCACAAGGATAACATATGTGAAGTATGAAAGCCCTAGCTGCAACGGTTCAAAAGTTATGGCCAAGGTCAAAGTTTTTCAAAAGTAGGTCAATCTCCAGGGTCAAGGTCAAAGGGTCAAAGTTTTTGGTATCCAAAGAAAGGTCTTGTCACAAGAATTACATAAGTGAAGTATGAAAGCCTTATCACCAAACGTTCAAAAGTAATGGCCAATGTTAAAGTTTTGCAAAAGTAGGTTAAACTCAAAGGTCAAGATCAAAGGGTCAAAGTTGTTGGTATCCAAAAAAAGGTCTTGTCACAAGGATTTAATCTGCACCACAAATTTGTATTGTTTTAATGGACTATTGAGCTTGATATCTGTTCGTTATCTTCATATTTCACGTAAAAAAAAACCTTCCCTAATCAGAGTAAATCTAATTTAGATTTTAGAGTTAAAGACTAATACATCTTTATGTATTCTAAATTTTACCAAGTTTGATTCAAATTGAATAAACTTGCAGGGAATTAGCATTATGGGAAATAGTTATCAAATTATTCTATTTTAGTAATAATACATGCATTTCATTGAAAATTGCATTAAGATATATGTGTTTATTGAGTTTTAGTAATAAAATTTGAATTATTCTATTCTTTTACCTGTAAAAATACCGGTACCTTTCATTGAATCTAAATATGATGCACCAAATTTGCTGAAAGGAAAAATAAAATGTGTAGTAAAAGATAATTTGAAGTGAATTATAGCTATTATTTCGAATGTGTTTTCCAGTATTGTTTTCAAATATTTAAATTCATCTTCAATCAACAAGTTATCAAAATCTTATGTGATTTTGACTGATTATTCATGAGTTATTAAAATTCATACCCCCCCCCCCAAAAAAAAAGTGAAAATAGACATTCTTATCATCTCTCTTGATCATCTGTTACTGTAACAGCCTTGATTCTCCTGTGCATGGAGTTTATCATTGAATTTGTTTTTCTCAATGAGATATTATTCAACCCTTCCGATAGGGTAGCCCTAAGTTGTTCGAGAGTAGTTGGAGCATTCTAAAGCCTTCAAACCCCACCACCCAGGTAATCCAACAGATTTTCGATTGAGGAAACAAGATAGAATTTACAGAATCCTCCTGGTTTGGTAAATGTGAATGTTTGCAAGAAAGGCTTGACAAACACTGGCTACTTTTTCCCGGAGTGAACATGTTAAAAAATTAGGCATACGAGTGCGAGTGAGAGTAATACCGCCGTAAAGTTGCCGGGCTCACGACCAAATTAAAGCAATGGGTTTCTGACAGTTTTAGGGTGAATGTTACGATTATGATTGCCCACTGTATTAATTCTGCCTACTGTATGTTTCAGCGTTAATGTCTTGACGATCACAGAGGTGTCTTGATGAAAAGCCCTATCTTGATGTGACGCTGTTACGCGCCAACGTAACGGTCACGGTTAGTTGGAAACCTTTCAAGTTATTCTCTGACAACTGAAAAAAATGTTCTTTGGTGAAAAAGTTAACAACAAACTGCACAGCAACATGTTGTTGCCTTTTTATTCACTTACGCAATTCGATGACTAAACCCGATGAAACTTCCGTCAGCCATAGCATGATTGCAAGAAATTCATACTGATTGCAAATATGCAAAAACGATGTCTATACCTCCAGTGCATCAGTTGGTACTACAAAATTTGTTCACATAACTGACATCATCAATATGTACGTGTTTTTCGCATTTTACCATTTTCGATACGTGCCGTCATACATTTCACGGTTGAGTAGTTTCGAACACAGATTTTAGTGCACAGTTACTAAAATACACCTATGACCAGCCAAAAATATTTCTCATATTTTGTTCATATGAGTTTCTTTTCCCTTGTAGTTTATGTATTGTATTTTTCAATCTATACAAGATGCCATAGTTAATTTCATTGAAATCCTAATGAAGCAAATTCTAAAGAAGATGAACTCTGTTTGCACGACAGGATCATGTATATGTATCTATAAAAACAGAAGGATGCCTTGTTTAATAAAAACCAGTAAGTGGATTTACAAGTTGTAAAATTATACACATACAAAGAAAAAACGGGAACAAACTCGGACACTATATCAAAAGATTAGCTTTTGTGAGTATCAGTATGAATAAACATTGACATTTATTTAAACAGAAAATGCGAGGAACAAAAGAGTCGCAAAATGTACAAACTACAAAGAAACATACTGCAGGTCATGTGTAAATTAAAATTTTGATATATTGTAGTTTGGTTAACTCTTGCATGAAAGAATTCAGAATAGTTGTTGATGTGGCCCAGAATGACTCTAGAAGAAAAAGCGAACTCTGATCATTTATTTTGTAATTATAATTTTATATTATTGATGCATTTTTGGTACACAAACGAAGAACTTGGCTGAAAGCCATTTCTAGAATACAATAGAGTAAGATTATAGGATGTTCATTTTTTTAAAATACCTAACACTTACCTCTAAAATGTTGATTATACATGTGTTTAGTCATGATATATATATATATTATGACAGGCTTTGTTTAACGGGTACAAGTAAGCTTCAATACTTAGAATTTGACGTTATATTGAAAGCTTACAGCATGGGGAACTTGGGTGCGGCAAAAAAAGGTTATCTATGAAATATAACATTATATGTGAACATGACCGTCTTGTACTAGAATTGAAATCTATTGGTCAAACTGAAGTGTGATATTTCTATCAGAGACAATACCAAAACTTGGATGCATGGATTTTTTAAACAAATTGAAAGCATCTTGTTTATTGAATCAAAAATAAAATTGACGTAAGAGAATTATGATTGAATGACTTTTTATTGCAAAACCCATTTTATTTTAAAGACGTTTTGTCATTCCATTTGTATTTATTAACAATAACCATCGAGAATGCCATTAGCATTTTCATTTGATTTAGATATCTCTAGAATAAAACTGGTACACACAACCTAGGTGTGAACAAAAAGGGTGCTACAGGTTACTTCCTTGACCCTGGAACTTAGTGTCAGTTGATATAGCTGTATATCGAGTAAAAACTCATTTGATGCGTCAACAATAAATGTCCCATGCAGACCGTCTCATTCAATCAATTTGTCACCAAGAGAAAATTTCAGACACTTTTGAGGGTCTATTGCTAACTTTTGAGCCCAGCGAAGCGATTGTATAATCTGCGTAATTTGTGCGGGTTTTTCTGCTTTCTTTTCAAAGACTTTTCAGTACATATTGCACCACTGCGTTCAAGGAAGCAAATATTGGGAATTTCTTGTTAATAACCAGGGACCTGAAGGTTAGACCAAATCTTCCAAATTAATATACATTTCAAGTATCCAGGACCTCTAGCAGCCAAACTGTTTTGCATGAGCGTAGAGAGAACAAGCCTATAATTGTGAATTATCGACTCCTTGAATGAGGCTCTATGGTCAGATTCAAAACGAATAAAATGCAGACTGCCTAAAATTCAATGATACTTTTATTGGTTTTCCCCGATAAATGAGTAATTGCATTCAATAAAAACTGAAAACAATTTGTTTTATTATTTCAGGTTTCTGTAACTCTGCACCTATCTGAATATTTTAGAGGTGGAAGATGTTTTTATTGCTAATAGAGAAAAGTTGAGAAAATACTACCTTTTCTCAGAATCTGCATTGTTAAAGCCAGTTGAGCTACTGTATCACCAGGAACCTCGGTCAACAAATGATGCATAATTCATCTATTATCTCTTTACATCTTAAATGTTTCACAGATATTTTTCGCAGAATTTTCGGATAACAAATTTACCTGCATTTCAGTTATTCCAGTAAGTTGTCAATCAACTGGTGTCTTTTATAATACGAAGCAACTTTTTTAAAATCCCCATTTCGTAATTTGTGTTTTATTTTGCAGGTGAGGAAGATGCTGTAAGTATTCATTTTGAATATTTTTAATATATATATATATATATATATATATATATATATATATATATATATATATATATATATATATATATATATATATATATATATATTCATTTTGAATATTTGAATATATATATTCTTTTTAAAGTATTAAAGTTTTAAAGTGCTTTAAGTATTTTTTGTAATTCCATCAACTTGTATTCCTCTCATTGAATATTTAGAATAGTTCTATTTTTTCTAAAACATATCCAGATCCTTTATCTCTGTTGAGATATTTCCTCTCTAATTTTACCCGGTAATGATTGTGTTTGATTAATGATAAATCGGAATTTGGTTTGAGAAAACTATGAACATTTTAAAATTCATAAAAGGAGTTAATATATGTTTCTTCAAAATGTTATATATAACTAACAATCAAATTGTTTAAGGACCCTCTATACACTGATGGAAAATGTTTTTTGGACTTTGAGAAAATTATATAACATAAAGGAGGATATTTTGAAATTAACTCATTTTTAATGTGGGGAGCATGCCTTTTTTATTCAGGAAAAATCTTCAAAGACAATGAAGTAATAGAAAAGAAAAATTGCCTTCGCTTACTCAAATGGATAAAATACATACAAATAAAGTTTTCAAATACTCTATCTTGATCTAATATAATGTTTAGAATACTTGGATTTATTTTAAATTATGCGATACAATTCATATTACAATTTATTTTACCTATATGTCAAATGGTGGGTAAGTCTAATTACACAAAAGTACCCTGAAAATAGGGTGCAGTGTAGAGAGGGTCCTTAAAGCAATATAAGCTGCATTTTGAGAATTTTATTTTCTGTTAAAATGTGCCGTTATGATAAATCTGTATGTGACTTAAACCTTCAAGATCAATAAGACTAAACTAAAGTGTTGAATTGTTTCAGAAGAAAGATTTCTATGCTTTGGAATATTTAGTAAGATATAAACAAACCAATATTGTACAGAACGACAATAATGTAATTTTGCTTCAATCAAAGCTTATGAATAGTTCTTCCATCGCAAAAATGAACAACAGAAGTTTATAAACGTTCTTTTTTTTCTGTCATTGAAATAATTAAATATATTGCAACAAAAAATTTCCGATATCAAAATTGCAGCTCGTATTGCTTTAATAAACAGCTATTGATATTAATTTGTATTTTTTTATTCCTAATTCTAGGAAAGAAGAGTTGAGTTGCTCATTCTTCAACATTATACGACCGCCTCGTTTTCAACTGTCTGTGATTTTGCAGTATATTTTGTTTTTGACTGTAATAATATTTGTTCTTAACAACACGAGTACCTTACCACCCCCTCCCCCTCCAACAATTGACTTTTATTGTGAGAAGGAATTTGGATATTCGAATGTCTCTCTAGATGAAATTTTGTCAGGAAAAGCCAACTCTTTAAACATTAATAACTTTAAATATATTTACAATGCTAACAAAACATGCAAAAGATTTTCAACAACAATATTATTAATACTTGTGAAATCAGCCGCTGGTAATTTCAGAAAGAGGCGTTTTATTAGAGAGACGTGGGGGAAAGATGCTAAAAAGAGGGGATTCAGAGTTTCTTTTCTCCTTGGGTACAGCGATTCGGATAAAGTATTTGTGGATTATGAACACGAGTTTCACAAGGATATTATTCAGCAGAATTTCCAGGAATCCTATGCTAATAATACTTATAAAATTATGATGGCATTTGACTGGATATTAAATTACTGTAAACTAGCAAGATATATACTCATAGTGGATGATGATATGTATGTGAATATTCTAAACACAATCAATTTCATTTTACAAGCAGACGTGGAAAAGAATAAATATCTTTATAGTGGATATCTCATCCCGAAACCCCTTCCAGATCGAGTATTTGAAAGTAAACATTACATATCTGAAGAAGAATATCCATTTCTATGCTATCCTCCATATATTGCAGGTGCTAGCATATTTTTGAATCAGTATACAGTAGAAAACTTTTTTAACGTTATGCCATACATTCCCTATATTCAATTTGATGATGTTTTCATCGGCTTTCTTGCTCAAAAGCTTCATATTAATCCGTCGTCCAGTAATGCTTTGATTAAACTAGGAGATAATTCATTTCAAGATAATAAAGCAAATGAAATTAGCTGTATTATATCTCAGCATGGATATGAGGTGGGATATAAGTTTCGGATTGCATACAACACCACACATACGCATGTTAAGACTTTAAAATTGTTTGAAAGAGACAATAATGATGGATATTTGAGAATTTAGATTAATGTTTTACAATGCCAAAGATCATATATGATTGATGTGGTTGTTGAAGGGAAAATCAAGTAATTGCTTTACGAAGTCTGTTTGGCTCTTGGATCTTCACTGAAATTTTTATTCAACTCATAAAATTTTTAAAAAAATGCACAGAAATTGTTTGTTTGTTTGTTGCCCTCTCCCTACCGACTGACTAAAAGTGACCAGACTCAAAACTTTTTAACCTCCAGGAATCTTTTTTTATTCATTCCGAAGCCTTCTCGTTCCATTATTAACCATTTTAACTTCATATTGGCAAGAGTTAAAAAAAATCTTCCTACCTATCTACCTAATTTTTTTATCCCGAGTCGGGAAAGGGCAAGTAAAGATTTTTTTTAAAGAAGGCCTAAGTTATTCAAAAATTTTAGTCTAATACTTATATCAATTTTACCATCTTTTTAAAAGGATTATATTAATACAGCATAGTCTTCCTAAAAATTTTTAGGTATTCTGGAATTGTTTTATGTAGCTGTCTTATTATGAAAAAAAGTCCTGTTATCTTGGTTTCTTTCCTGCATATTACACTGAATTATGACGCTTAAAACCTTATTTTCAAGTCATTCTTTTTTCTTAAAAGAGTCCTTATTTACCATTTTGACTAAAAATTTAACTTTTCGGCGAAAGAGGAATTCAAATAAAATTGTATTGTAGGATCTATGCAAGTAGTAAGATCTTTCCCTCAGATATAGTTGATCTGCTTGAATGCACTTGATAGTTAAACTTTGTATCTAATATTTTTTATATTTACCCTATTGAGTTTTGACCCTAGGATAAATATCTAAGACTCTTAATATAATGAGTTTAAATCATAGGATATCAATATACCACGCGAAATGTAAAAGTAAAGAATGGTTTACAATTCTAAGTACCAGAAGTTTTGAAAATGAGGTCTACACAAAAAAAAAAAAAAAAAAAAAAAAAAAAAAAAAAAAAAAAACATACACTTATTTTTTTTTTTCGGTTAATGAACGGACAAAGTCCAAATCTATAATAACCTGCCATCTCTAACCTTCGTTTATTATTATGAAAGAGAATGCTGCATTTTCTACTTCGTTTTGACTAAGGATTGAATTGAATTGTTGACGCATTTATATTTGTGCTGCTGTATTGGTGAGGTGTCTTGATTATTTGATATGATAGAATACCACCGCTTAATGAAGAATGGAACTGGATGCCATTTTGATAAATACCCTGACATTGGAATAATTCGGACAAGGGTTTTATCTCATTTATGGCAGTTTTTTATTTAATTCTTCTATTTTTTCATGACAACTTAACAAAGGCTTTAAAAGCCTGTGTTGTTGTTGTTTTGTATTTTTTAACCTTGGGAGGGTTTTGTTTTATTCTTGGTTGATTTTTTAAATTATTCTTTTTCTTCCTTGACAACATTAACAATAGCTTTTAAAAACTTGTTTGGTTGTTTGCATTTTCAAAATTTGCGTTCCATTACTATATCGTTCAGAGTGAAAATGTAAGAAAATAATGGTTTACCAATCTTATTAGGTTCTTACGCAATATACATTCATACTTGTACAATGAACTCTTTTGAAAAAAAATTGAGTTGAAGAATATTTCTTCTTAGATGTTAGTCACAGTAGGGCTTCCATATCATAAATTTGCTAATCCAAATTTCAAAAAAAAAGAAGAAAATCAATAGAAATTGGTTTTCTTTTCAGTTTTCTGTTTAGTCAAAGAATAATTATACACAGTTTGATAAAAGACAATTCGTTATGGCAGATGCAAAATAACCATTTTCATTGTGTGTTTAGGAGGTTCGTTTATCCACTAAAGCAAGATTTTTTTTTTTGGGGGGGGGGGGGGTCAAAGAAATCAAATATTTCATCTGAATGTCAAAAAGATATATAGTAGAGTGGCTTCAAAAAGTTTTGAACAGTGATTATGATTGGTGTAGAATAGTTGCAATACATCAGTACTTAATCATTAGGCAGCTCTTATAGCTCAAAAGCAAATTCTATCATTCATTCACACTTGTGTAAAGGAATAATTTCTGTATGTTAAAGCGTACATAGCCGATGAAAAGAGAGTGAATGAACTACATGTAATGTAGATCTAGTCAACGCAGTCTGTAGAGGGACATCTAAGGTAACCCTGAACCTATTAACATAATTGATGCACCTTTATTCCTTAAAGTTTTTGAATTTAGAAATTGTTCAAGAGCGACCTGATTATTATGCACTAGTGGTATTGAAGTGTGGTCTTCCTCAATTCATTAGTATTTAAAAAATTACCATTGTTTTCTTGTAATGATATTTTAAAAGGTGATGGTATAACTTGATAGTATGTTTGAATTGAGGCTGACGTTTTTTTATCAGTATGATATTGAATTGTGTTTTATGTTACTTTATAAAGGCAAAAAAATGTCTAGAATTTGTACTGAACGATTATTTAATACGCTTGTCAAATCAAGAAAACAGCTTTTACGAGTATCAAATTTATTTTTTGTCCATGACAGATAGATTGTACTTCTTTAACTTCCAATGAATTTGTAGAAATTGGAGGATGTGAAAATTTTTTTTTAATTTTATAGAAAAGTTATTTTATAATTTTAAATGCTCATATTTATCCTACCTTTCCGTCCTAACACAGATTAGTCAAAATATTCGATCACAATTTTTTTTTCAGATTGTGATGTGAATGAGATTAATTTTGTTATCTTTTTTCCTCATTTTGTATTTGTGTAGCAATTAGTTGTAAAAATGATATGAATAAGAGTCATAGACTTTTGCACAATTTTATGTTTACAATAAATACTCGTGTTTTTTTTAATTCTTTTGTTTCTTCAGAAATCCAAATTGCTCTCTCTTTCTCTCTCTCTCTCTCTCTCTCTCTCTCTCTCAATATCAATGTAGATCCGAAAAAGATAAATATTATGATTACATCTCCTTTTTTCTGGAAGTTTATTATTGTATACAAGGGAATTCAAAATCAAATTATCTGTATATCGTTGTCATTTGATGCGGGTTGTCACGAAAGATGGTCTCACTACTAAATATTTTTTCTCTGTAAATTGCTTTATATAATCGCAGCAGCATTGTTTGCGGTAAATAATTGTAGTAAATGGTTTCTTTTTGCATACACAAAAAGAAAACCAAGCGGTAGCTATCTCGTAAGGTTGTGGTCTACATGAACTTTTGATATAATGGAACGGTAATTTGGATAATAGTTATAAAATGATTTATCATGTTATTCAAAATGAATAACGATTGGAAATCATTGTAATTATGGAACCTCTTTCAACGCGTTGTCTTCATTCATGATACATGTAGTATTAAGTTATTTTCATCCAAAAATTTATCCAATCTAATTAAAATTAGATGTTCCGAAGAAGCGGTAGCGGATTTTGAACATCTAATTGTAATTTTTACTAGAAAAAGACGTAAATGGTAATCTAACAACCAAGCTTTATGATACACCTTATGACCTTAAATTTTCAATCGTCAACTTCCCTTACTTATGCAGCAATATACCTTTATCACCTGCATACGGGGATTAGATCTTTTAGTTGATTCCATACGCAAGAGCATGCCCTACGGATGACCTATTTCTAAAACGAGGTAGGTTATTGACAAACAAGTTGATGAAACAAGAATATCAGTAGTCTCGTTTAAGGTCATCATATTTCGTAAATTCTTTGTTCGATACAATGACCTTGTCAGCAAATATAATCTATCATTAAGTCAAATGTTGACTAATTTTTCATACTAAATGTTAGGCCATTATTTACACGCTGAATTGTAAACGGATTTTTCTGTTATTTCCCGATCATGACAAGGAGCACAAGGAGAGGGTATGACCGGTCGGCAGGGGATGCTCACTCCTCCATGGCACCTGATCCCACCTCTGATGTTTTAGAGGTCCTTGTTTGCTCTGCACCTGTTTTGTATTGTTTAATGGACTTTTGAACTTGAATACTTTTCGGTATTTCCATATATAGCATTTAATTAGATTGAATATTTATCTGAACAAGCTAGACAGCCACAACCCATATCCAATATCAACATGTGTTTTACGTATCTCTGTAAATCGTATGTTTAACATTGCGGAAAGTTTACATGTAAGAGGGTTGTCCGGTAAAATCGTGGACAAAGCTTTTTTTTTTAAATGATGTGCGCACTTTGCTGAAAATTTCATCAAATATTTATCTACCATATTTGAGTATATTCCGAAAAAATGTAGACAAAAATAAGGATTTAACATGCATTCTCTGTTAGCACCAAAAAATTTACTATAGGGCTTGGAAACGACATCTCTCCGATTTTGATGAAATTTGCACCACAATGCATCTTGGCACAAAACTAGCAAATATGGTGTTAGAAGTTTCACACGTGCACCTGGTTGCCATGGAGACGGATCCATTGAATTTGGCCATTTTTGGCCCTTTTTGACCAAACAAAAACATGAAAAATCAGGAAATGTAAATGCATTTTTGTCTTTATGTGGTAAACTCAAACATAAATCATTGTATCATAAGAAAACATCAACTTTTAAGGTATACAGGGCATATAATCGGGTATTCCAGAATTATTCCCACTCTAAGAAAAAGGTCCTGTAAAATGACATAGTTTCTGAAAATGTGAAAAATGGGAAATTTGGTATTTTTTGAGAACTTTAAGGTTAAATAAAAAAAATTGTCTACGGAAATATTTCAAATCTTATGTGTGTTTTCATACTTCAGAATTAGGAGTGTCACCTCATGAAAAAATTGGAGTGGGATCTCAATACTATTTTTAGTAACATGTATCTATAAATAGACATATTTCAGAAAAATCTAGAAAATCAAATTTGGGCAGAGTTTAAGATGCCATTGTTAGGTATTTAGGAAATTTAAGGTATATATATATATATATATATATATATATATATATATATATATATATATATATATATATGACTGCCGTCATGAGAAAAGGGCCCTTATCTTTTGACGTCACAATGCGCAGAAAACG